TTCATATATTTGCCTTGTGCTTTATCACATACAAAGGCCTTTTCAAATCTGTGTTCTCATTATGACTTGTTCCGTTTTGCAGTGGAGGCTACTGAGAAACTAACGGTGTGGACATTATCTCCACCGTAGGAAAGAGTAAGTGATCAGGTGAGCATGTAAACCTGCATGTCCCTCCAAAGCCCTCTGCACTGGGTAGTGTCTTGGCCAGTGCATCTCTGTCCCTTGGATTCAGGGAATTGTGACCTCCCGAGACAGAGGCACTGGCCCCCTCAGCACCCAACACAGGTTGGTGCGCTCACTGAATACACCTCTGTGGACGGCTCGATTTTTCAGAGCAGGATTGAACGGCAACACCTTCCCCCACTTTTCACTCCTAAACCTTGCATTCTTGTCGAGCTGGAGTCCACAAAGCCAAAATGGCCCGGTCTGAAAAGAATGTAAGAGAAGACATTCATGTTCTATTTGTGGCCCTAGAATGATTCCCAGCCAGTCATTCAATAAAGGCAACAAGAGCTGGGTGCGGTGGCTCACAGGGGTCATCCAGCACTTTGGGAGGCTGAGGCAAGAGGATTTCCTTATCCCAGGGGTTCAAGACCAGCCTGGGCAACTTGGCAAGCCCTTGTCTCTACAATAAATAAAAAAATTAGATGTGGTGCACATCTGTAGTTCCTGCTACTGGAAAGGCTGAGGCAGAAGGACTGCACTCCAGCCTGGGTGACAGAGTGAGACTCTGACTCAAAACAACAAAACAAAAAAAACCAAACAGGGCAATGGGCAATCTGTTCTGCTACTGAGCTCAGGGAACTCAGAACCCCTCTTCCAAGCATCGGATGCGACTCACCTGTGGTGTAATTGAAGACGTCGCCCAGAGGACTCTGCCCGGCCCTGTTGTAGGCAAACACACTGATAAAGTAGGTGAAACCGCACTCAGATAAGAACTCGCACTGGGTGAGGGATGTATTGCAGTGCACCTCCCAGCCGTCATCGCTTTTCACGAAGGCCACGTAGTAGTCGCCCAGATCCACACTGGACCAAGCCACAGACAGGCGGCCAGGGGACTCTTCTAGGATTGTCACTCTTCTGGGTGCACAAGCAACTAGGAAACGATTGGTAAGAAACACTTGTGAGATGACAGCTGGAGATTCTCTTTGCATCTTTGCAATGATGTAAGATTTCAAGACAACTCAAGTCAGCAACTCTGAGCTTTGTAACACATGGAATTTGGTGTACGCTATGTTAAACCATGCCAGGCGCAGGGGCTCATGCCTGTAATCCCAGCACTTTGGGAGGCCGAGGCAGGAGGATCGCTTGAGTCCAGGAGTTCAGGACCAGCCTCCTGAGTAGCTGGGACTATAGGCACGTGTCACCGCACCTGGCTAATTGCTTTTATTTTTTTGTAGAGATGAGGTGTCACTATATTGCCAAGACAGGTCTCAAACTCCTAGGCTCAAGCAATCCTCCTACCTCAGCCTCCCACAGTGCTGGGATTATAGGGATGTGTCGCCACATCCAGCCTAGTCTCCTAATTTTCAAAGAAGTTCTTTCTGGGCCAGGTGTGGTGGCTCATGCCTATAATCCCAGCTCTTTGGGAGGTGGAGGTGAGAGGATTGTCGGAACCCATGGGTACGAGACTAGCCTGGGCAACTTGGCCAGACCTTGTCTCTATAATCAAAAAATTAGCCAGGTGGGGTGGTGCGCACCTGTGGTTCAAGCTACTTGGAAGGCTGGGGTGGAAGGATCTCCTGAGCCCAGCAGATCGAGGCTGGGGTGGCCGCGAGCATGCCACTGCACTCCAGCCTGGGTGACCGAGTGAGACTCCAACTCAAAAAAAAGTTCTTTCTGCAATGCATGGTATCTGGTTTCACTACGGATATTATTCAAACTAAAGAATGTCCCACTTGATGCTTCCACCTTCTGGCTTTCGTTTTCACTCCTTCCAGAGTGTTCTGAAGCACTGTTGGAGACGACAGTCTCCCTCATGGCGGTCGCTCCGACTCGCCTTCCCTGCGGGCCTCATTCTTGTCTGCATACCAGTTTTCAAGGTCACTGCGGAAGACGACTTGCTGGATCCAGCATCGTTCCTTGCTAGCACTGAGACCAGGTACTCAGTTCCACACTGAAGGGAGGAGATGGTGCAGGAACTAGACGTGGTGCTGCATCTTCGCTCGGAGGAGCCACCCAAGGCTGTCACGGTGTAGTTGGCAGCGCCTTCCATGGGTGCCCATGAGAAAGCAGCCCTCAGGGCCCCACTGTCAAAAGAGACGTGAATGTTGGCAGGGGCGCGTGGACCTGCATTTTTGAGAAACAATTAAGGGTTTGTAGCAGCCTCCAGAACCCAAGTAAGATGTGCCATCACCACACCCCAGAGCTCAGAGTGTAACAACCCCAGTAGCCGAACACTTGCGAGGGTTCAATGCGTAAAATTGGACTTAGAAGACCCGGGAACCAGCGACGCATCTGTTATGAACTATGCAAACAGATCTGACCTTGGCTACACTATTTAATCTTTTTTCTCTGAGTCGGACGGAGTCTCACTCTGTCACCCGGGCTGGAGGACAGTGGCATGCTTGTGGCCGCCACAACCTCAACCTGCTGGGCTCCGGTGATCCTTCTGCCTCAGCCTTCCAAGTAGCTGGAACCACAGGCCTATGCCACCATGCTCGGCTAATTTTTTTATTTATTGTGGCAAAAAGGTCTCACCATGTTGCCCAGGCTGGTCTTGAACCCCTGGGCTCAGGCAATCCTCTTGCCTCCACCTCCCCAAGTGCTGGGGTTACAGGCACCAGTCACCAAGCCTGGCCTGTTTAATCTTTTTGGATATTTAATTTTTTCTACTTTCTACAATGTCTCTAATAAGATTAGTGCCTGTGGCCAGGTGTGGTGGCTCATACCTGTAATCCCAGCACTTTGGGAAGTGGAGGTGAGAGGATTACATGATCCCAGGAGTTCGAGACCAGCCTGGGTAATATAGTGAGCTTTTGTCCTACAAAAATAAAAAATAAAAAATAATTAGCCCAGCGTGGTGGCACACACCTGTAGTCCCAGCTACTTGCGAGGCTGAAATGGGAAGATCACCTGAGCCCAGGAGGTTGAGGCTGCAGTGAGCCACGAGTGTGTCGCTGCACTCCATCCTGGGTGGCAGAAACTGTGACTCAAAAAATCAAAATAAAAAAAAACCAAAGGCAAACTCTTCTCTCCTTCTTCCATGTCTGCCTTGGCCCATAGACAATATAGCTTCCGTTCCCCTTCAGACCTAGGGAGTGCTGAAGAGAACCTTTCCTGTTTCTTCCCACCCTTTCCTTGGTCCTCTACAAGGAACGAAACAGTTAATTTGTGGATGAGAGTCTGGTATCTATTTAGGTCACGTTGCCAGTGAACGGCTTACTCTGCCTCAAGAGAAGAAAAAGCACGCCTTGCTCTCTCTCTCTCCCCTCTCTCTCCATCTCCTCTCTCTGCTTCCCCTCTTGGCTGACTCCAACTACTCAGTTTGGACCCCAACTGTTATGCTGCAGGATCCCCTAGTCGGGGGATCCCTGGGTGGGGCCCGTGTTACATGCAGCTGGAGGAGAGGTGGCAGGAAGACCCCTGACAGTGTCAGGTCCCGGGGGAGGCCTTGGGGAAACAGATCTGAAACACGCATTCCCCACCCCTGCCGGGGTGCCCGCAGGAGCCTCGCCTTGTTTGCTTGCTGTGTGTCTCTGGAACAATGCCGGCTCAAGGCTGGCACACACTCAGTGTCCGCAGCAGAGATGGATTCCTGCTTGGCCCGGTTCTTAGATTATTGGCCCAGAGCCAGGAAGGAACAAGGGGCGACTGGTGAGCCTGACAAGAAGTTCCCCTGTGTGACGTTGAGTGTGTGTGTTGGTGAGCCCAACAGGAGTCATCTCCGTCTCGTGTGTTGCAGGTGTGTGCTGAAATGAGTTGGATATCAGAATCCTCTGTGCATTCTCAGCAAAACTGCTTTATCTCTGCAGGAAGCATTTAAACTACTGAGGAGTAATAGTCAAGGCACTGGAAATAACTTCATCATACCTTTTAATAGCTACTGCCAGCTGCTCTGTGCTTATCATTTAATACTGCTCTTTTTTTGGGAAAAAAAAAAATTAAAGCCAGGCATGGTGGCTCACAGCTATAATCCCAGCATTTTGGGAGGTGGAGTTGAAAGAATTGAGTGAGCCCAGGGGTCCGTGACCAGCCTTGGTAACTTGGCGAGACCTCATCTCCACAATAAGTCAAAAAATTAGCTGGGCATGGTGGTGAGTACCTGTGATTCTAGCTACTTGGAAGGCTTAGGTGGAAGGATCGCCTGAGCCCAGAAGGTCGAGGCTGTGGTAGCCATGATCATGCCAATGTACTCTAGCCTGGGAGAAGAAGCGAGACTCCGACTCAAAAAATCATTAAAAAAAAATTTTAAGTTGATTTATTCTGGCCAATACGAGTGACCTCAGGCCCAGAAACACCCATCCTCAGGACATCCTAAGGACATGTGCCCCCCCCATGGTTGAATGGTAGCTTGGTTATATACAATTTAAGGAGGCAGAAGTTACAAAAACCATACAATACATGTGAGATATTCATGAGTTCAGCCTGGGAAGGAGGGGCATTTCCAAGCGAGAACTTGCAGGTGATAAATGGATTCAAAGATTTCTTGAAGGTGATTTGTAGTACCTATCTGAGGGATTTTGGCTATTAGTAGAGAGAGATTTTGCTGAGATAGCTTCGCCCTTGATGGCTGGGATGCAAAGCCTCCCTCCTTCATTTAAAAAGAGGCTGGACACGATGGCTCACGTCTGTCTACTTGGAAGGATCGCCTGGGCACAGCCAGTCGAGTCTGCAGTGGCTGTGAATATGCCATTGCACTCCAGCCTGGGTGACAGAGGGAGATTCCAACTCAAAAAAAAAAAAAAGCTAGGCACGGTGGCTCACACTTGTAATCCCAGCAATTTGAGAGGTGGAGGCGGGAGGATTGCCTGAGCCCAGGGATTTGAAACCAGCCTGGGCAGTATGGTGAGACCTCATCTTTATAATAAATCTAAAAATTCATCGGGTGTGGTAGTGGGCGCCTATAGACCAGCTACGTGGAAGGCTGAGGCAGAAGGATCACCTGAGCACAGCAGGTCAAGGCTGCAGTGGGCGTGCTACTGCATTCCAGCCCGGGTGTCAGTGAGACTCCAACTCAAGCAAGCAGACAAAAAACATCTAAAGTGAGACTGCTGGAGGCTAAGTTGAGAATTCTTACTTGTTCTCTGGTTGCAGGTGGAGTCATCCCCTGGAATGCCATTGGCGTTCCATGCGTAGGCCTTGATGGTGTACAGCGTCCCAGCTTCCAGCCTAGTAAACGTCCAGGAGGTGTCGGTCGTGTTCTCCTTCCACACACTGCCCAGACCATTGGCTCGCATGATGGACACGGAGAACCCGATTGCCATGTACACAGCCTCCCACTGCACCAGAATCGAGTCTGAACTTGGAGAGCTGACTTCTAGGATTGGGGCAGCCAATACTGAAAGGACAAAAACACATGACTTTGTGTTACCAAGGCCCAACAGAGGATCATGCAGACTCAAGGGTAAGTAAATCGAGGTTGGTTGTTCTTATTATGAAATAATGATCTGCTTTATAAAAGGATTCACAACAGCCGGGCACGGTGGCTCACGTTTGTAATCCCAGCACTTTGGGAGGCTGAGGCGAGAGAATTGCCTGAGCCCAGGGGTTTGAAACCAGCCTGGGCAATGAGGAGACCTCATCTCTATAATAAATAAAAAAAGTAGCTGGGTGTAGGGACAGGTGCCTGTAGTTCCGGCTACTTGGAAGGTCGAGGCTGTGGTGGCTGTGAGCACACCATTGCACTCCAGCCTGGATGACAGAGTGAGACTCCAACTCAAAAAAAACTTTAAAAGGATTCACAACAGAGCTCCATTAAACAATTGCTATTTAAGCATGTGTGAGTCATAAGTGACTTGGCAGAGAAATGGGGAACAAAGAAACTCTAAATATTACTTAGGAACTACTTTCAACTGGAAGTTGGTCAGAAATTAGGTAAAATATCTCTGTAATCATACTTATAAATCAATAGGGAAGTGATATGCACTGTTATTTTATTTATTTATTTATTTATTTGAGTCAGAGTCTCACTCTGTCACCCAGGCTGGAGTGCAATGGCACGCTCCCGGCCACCACAGCCTCGACCTGCTGGACTCAGGTGATCCTTCCGCCTCAGTCTTCCAAGTAGCTGGAACTACAGGCACAAACCACCATGCCTGGCTACTTTTTTGATTTATTGTAGAGACAAGGTCTCACCAAGTTGCCAAGGCTGGTCTCAAACCCCTGGGTTCAGGCTGTCCTCTCACCTTGGCCTCCCAAAGTGCTGGGATTACCAGCGTGAGCCACCGCACCCAGTATTTATTTTATGTTATTTTATTTTTGACTCAGAATCTCACTCTGTTGCTCAGGCTGAAGTACAGTGACAAGTTCACTGCTCACTGGAGACTCGACCTCCTGGGCTCAGGCAATCCTTCTGCCTCCGCCTCCCAGGTACAGGTGTGCACCACCATGCCTGGTTAATTTCTTGTAGAGATGTGGTCTTGCTATGTTGCCCAGGCTGGTCTCGAACTGTGGGCTCAGGCAATCCTCTGCCTCCCAAAGTGCTGGGATTGCAAGAGTGAGCCACCACGCCCAGCCGTCCTATGCCAGAGACTTAAAAGCAGGTATGCTTTTAAAGGCGCCCAGGGATTGCTTAATTTTCCAAAGTAAAGCATCTGACATTTGGATGCCACCTCTTCCACAGATACCTGAGCTCCCAAAAAGCATCATTTGGTTGTTTTCACTTCAGGGCCCTGAATTATGGGCATTCACATGACACCCGATCACGTCATGCACCCGCAGCACCAGTGTCACCAACTCAGGTCACAAGCACATGCTCGATGGAGCTGAGTAGCCGGCTACCTGTCTTTGCCTGCTTTGGAGGTGAGGCCTGGCTTCTCCCGGCAGCGCTGACAGATCTGATGGTGATTTGGTACAAGGTCGCAGCCTTCAGGCCCGTCACGGTGCCCGGGGAATTGGCCACCATGGTCTCAATGACCGTGTCTCCATCTTCGGCTGTGAGGAGGTAACTGGTGGCGCCTGGCACTGTAGCCCATTCTACGGTGATACTGTTGCTGATTTTTGAATATGCCTGATCAATGGTGGGTATTTCAGGAGCTGAAAGAGATTTTTTAGAGTGGTACAAGATACCTGCAACGATTCCTTTTTTCCCATCATTTTACTCTTCAAACTGAGTCCTTCGCATGCTCAGACAGACTTGTTCTTATTTTCCAGATCGGGCGGGGGGGAACAGAAAAAGAAAAAGAAAGGCCAAGCTACTCTCCAGAAGAGAGTCAGAAAGCTCCAACCTCTCATTCAGGGATGGTATTTCAAAATTTGCACTTTTTTTTTTGAGTCAGGGTCTCACTCTGTTGCCAAGGCTGGAGGGCAGTGATACAATCGTGGCTCACCGCAGTCTTGACCTCCCAGGCTCAGGTGATCCTCCTGCCTCAGCCTCCCAAGTAGCTGGAACCACAGGCTCATGCCACCATGCCTGGCAATTTTGGGATTTTTTTTGTAGAGACGAGGTCTCGCTCTGTTACCCAGGCTGGTCTCCAACCCCTGGGCTCAAGCGATCCTCCTGCCTCGGCATCCCAAAGTGTTGAGATTATAGGCGTGAGCCACTATGCCCTGCCTCTTTGCACTTCTTGTACTTTTGAAAGAATTAATCTAGCCTGGGAAGTGATTGTAGGGAAGACTCTGGGAGGAGAGAGAATAATTGCCGGCCTTTTTTTCCAGGGGATTCCACCCTGGTTCTGCCACCGGCCTCCTCTCCCTGCACACTGCACTGCATGGCTCCCTGAGGCCAGCCTCTATGCCCCACCTCCTCCCGGGGTGGCCGTGGTCACACCCCATGCACTTTGCACATTTCCTAAATGGCATTCAAGCTAATGGAGGAAGGAGGGAGAAATGAGTTCTTTGTTATCGTGGCTCCACAGCACTTTCTTTCATATCACCGGAGTGGAATCATCTTCAGATTCTTCTTCTAAAATAAGAGTAGAAGCCGGGCTCGGTGCCTCAGCCTGTTATCCCGCGCCTTTGGGAGGCTGAGGTGAGTGGATTGCCTGAGCCCGCGGGTTCGAGACCTGCCTGGGCAGCAAGACCTCATCTC